CTGCAGGGGTGTTATATCACGTATCATACATTATGTATTTTATATACTCATATATGACCTATTTTAAATTTATGTGTGGTTTTAGAATGTGCAAAGGTATTTTTATTATTGGTCGTCAGAAGCAGTCCTATTCTAGTTATGTTTAGAATGCTCTTAAGTATAGGAGTTTTTATATCTTTTATTTAATCATTTAGTTAAATCATTAACTTGTCATGGTGCTTTAAAATCCCTTAGGAAGTTTACAGCTTTTAAACAAATCTTTAATGGTGGTGGCATGGTGGCAGGTCAAGAATTACCGATGCATTAATTCAGTTAGCATTCTAGAATGATACATGTTACATAGGAATTGAAAGCATGTTTTTCCAGTAGTCTTAGCCAGAGTTGCTGTAATTAACCCAGAAAATGTAAGATAGAGACTACCAAGAAAGAAGATAAGAAATTGAGAGTCTGGAGTTAAGGAAAATCCAGACAGATTTTCCCTTTCAAAGCAAGGAGAATATTTTGTTTTGTAGGTATATATAGGTGAATGGAAAATTAAATTATATGTACTTCAAGAATTTGAGAGGTACCTCTTACCTCACTTCTTTGGCCTCCTGTGTGGTTTTATCAACTTTCCTAATTCTTCATATTCTTCAGCTAGTAAAATAGAGAACATTATTTGTATCTTACATTCTTCTGATGAATGTTGTGAGTTGATACTTATACAGAACTATTTAAGCTTAAAATGGTCTCTAAAAGCTAAGGAATAGTGATAATAATGCCTATTATGAAGGCAAAAGGAAAAATTATATTTGAGAAACTTAGAGCCTTCAATCATCCGTTTCCTAATCATCATCTTGGAGGAGTCAAGAAGCAGATCTATCATCTCACAAATGAAATACTGAGTTTCCTGTGTTTCATTCTCTTTGCAAATCATTGACTATATTTAATTAAAAGGAAGATATGAAACTGCTTGATGATCTAGTCAAAACTGGTTTTCTCTCTTGCAGACAGGTCAAAACTGGCTGATATTTAATTTTTTTTTCAGCCTTAGATCTATCTTTAATAAGTCCAAGAATCCTAAAAAGCTAACATGTAACTCTTTAAGCAAATTAATGAGAAGATAGAACTCTGAACTGATTATATCGTTTTTTCCAAGGAAATTTGGCAAGAATGAATAATGCATGAAATATAATTTACAAGATGTTTAGAAATGTGTTTTTCAGCAGTGTAGTAGCTCGTATCAGCTAGCAATGAATTCTTCATAATTTTTAAAGGGCAAATTTTGGGCTAGGATTAGATGGTGAGATTTCCAGGATCTAACTGTAAGAAATTAGAAGTTTAGGCTTGAGAACTTTGCTGGGAAATGTTGATTGCTTCAGCTGTTGATTAGGTGTACGGAAGTTGGGGACCGTGGGGGACCATGGGTGCTGTGAGGGAGTCGTCATAGCTAAATAAGAACTTGAATACAGGGCACCTGGGTGGCTCAGTCGTTAAGTGTCTGCCTTCCACTCGGGTCATGGTCCCGGGGTCCTGGGATCGAGCCCTGCATTGGTCTCCTTGCTCGGCGGAGAGCCTGCTTCTCCCTCTCCCACTCCCCCTGCTTGTGTTCCCTCTCTCGCTATCTCTCTCTGTCAAATAAATAAAATCTTTAAAAAAAAAAAAAAGAACTTGAATACAGAATGCAAACATAAGAGTTCAGCTGAAAACAGAGATAAACAGAAGTGGTGATAGTAAAGCACCCCAGAGTTCCCTGGTTAAAAATAAGAAACCTATAAACAAAATCGTTTCTACTTTAACCACAAAAAAAGGAAGAAGAAAAAACCTGCTCACTTAAGGTGCCAAGACTGCAGAAGCTAAAGGAGTACCTTAATTCAGAATAAGGAAATTTGATTTTGGTTCTTCTATGTCAGAAGATCTGAGGAAAGGATAGGCAAGCATATTTATAAAGTGGGGTGAAGACAGAATTTAAAGAGACTGACACCTAGAATCAGAAAAATTTGCACCATTACAACAGAATGAATTAATTGGGGAAGGCTGCCCTACCGTATAAATACTCTTCAAACAGTATTTGCAGTATGTGTTGTATCCCAGATTCTAGGAAATCTGCCCCTTGCTGACAGGGCTGACTATCTAAAAGGGAATTATCACTGTTTAAATGGATGGAGACTTGGAGAGCGATTCAGTCCCAAAGGAAAGACTGACATTTTGGAAAGAGACCTGTGAATGATGCAAATGTGAACTTACATGTGCTTGAGATAAGCACTGATTAAACAAAACAAAGAATCCATTCTGAACATACTTTGGAAACACATAGTCTTTGAGAACTTGGTTGATGAGTTGAGTGAAATGGCCTAATTGAACTAATTCCCATTTGGGGGTTTGTTTGTTATACTTTTCTGAAGCCGGAGCCAACACTCCTGAAAGTTTTGAATGACATTTAGTGCTTCCAGGAATTGGGGCTTACCAATTTGTAGATAAACCCGTTTCCTTTTTGGCTGTGTTGTATTAATTAAAACTGTTCTGTTAAATGAATAGAAGGCGGCCCCCTTGTATAATTTAGGCCTTCCCCCATAGAGATATTCTGCTAGTAAGAAGAGAAATCAAGTTTAGTGGTTTGATTCATTTTACATGGCATCAGGTACTCCCTATGATTATAATATATTTTTTTAAGATTTTATTTATTTGAGAGAGAGAATGAGATAGAGAAAGAGCATGAGAGGGGGTAGGGTCAGAGGGAGAAGCAGACTCCCTGCTGAGCAGGGAGCCCGATGCCAGACTCTATCCCGGGACTCCAGGATCATGACCTGAGCCGAAGGCAGTCGCTTAACCAACTGAGCCACCCAGGCACCCCGATTATAATATTTTTATTACAGCAGAAGTTATTTTAAATTATTTAGGATCTTATACACCATGGCAATTATAGCTATCCCCAATCTTATTTTTCTCACTTGTTACATTTTAGCCAAGTTTAAAAAAAAAAATCAGAGATTCTTACTTAAAAGATGTTTATGGAAGAAAACATAATGTTAAAGTATACAAAGTATATGAACTTATTTTAAGTAATTATTTTAAGTAATGTTACACTAATTTAAAAAATAGAGGGGCGCCTGGGTGGCTCAGTCGTTAAGCGTCTGCCTTTGGCTCCGGTCATGATCCCAGGGTCCTGGGATCGAGCCCCACATCGGGCTCCCTGCTCCGCGGGAAGCCTGCTTCTCCTTCTCCCACTCCCCCTGCTTGTGTTCCCTCTCTCACTGTGTCTCTCTCTGTCAAATAAATAAATAAAATCTTTAAAAAAAATAAAATAAAATAAAAAATAGAATGGATTTTAATAATACATCAACGAGATCTTTTTCCTGATAATCTAAACCTTTATTGGCCCAGAGCCATTTATAACAGAGGCTGGTAAACTATATCCTGTAGGCCAGATCCAATCCACTGCCTGATTTTATATGGCCAGCCAGCTGAGATTGGTTTTTACAGATGAACATTTGTATTCTGTCTGATAATCGAGAATACTTTGAAACCCAGCTAAACAAAATGTTGACCCAAAATAACGAATTCCATTCTTATTGGTAGACCTATATTACAAAAGATTAAATTTGATTATTCTGCAAAAGACATTATATTCAATTATTATTACTACATTTTAATTTTATAATAAAAGTTTTGTAGAAATTTGTTTTCTCTGTATAAATGCACCTACATAATATCCTTTATTTCTGCCTCTTGGCATGCAAAACCTAAAATATTATCTAGCCCTTTACAGAAAGTGTAGACCCCTGACACAGAGTATTTTTTTCTCATTCATTTTTTATTCACTCATGCATTTGTTCAACAAATAGTTTCTGAGCAACTTTCACATGCCAGAGACACTGTTCTAGGCCATATTTAAAAAAAAAAAAAATAGTGCCTTCATAAAACTTACATTCAAATTATGTACATTATCTCCTCACAACTACCTGTTCTATTATCCCCATTCTACAGAGAGCTTCAGAGAATTTATGCAGGTGTCTGGAGTTTCTTAGACAGAATCGAACCCAGTTATACCTGACTGTACAGATTTAAGCTTCTAACCAATGGGCAGGGCTAGCTTCATGGGCAAGGTTCTGTGCTTGGTTTAATACTCTGCTGTTACCATCTTGTAATCATTCATTCTTGGACAAATTTTTGAACAGTGAATATGTTATCATTTTGCACTTGGCTCCACAAATTATGTAGCTGGTCCCGCTGCTAAGGCAAAAGTGCTTCTCTCTCAGACCACATTCCTGCCAGGGCTGTTGTTTGTTTGTTTGTTTGTTTGTTTTTTATTTTTTTAAAGATTTTATTTATTTATTAGACAGCGAGGGAGAGAGAAACAGCATGAGAAGGGAGAGGGTCAGAGGGAGAAGCAGGCTCCCTGCTGAGTCAGGAGCCCGATGTGGGACTCGATCCCAGGACTCCGAGTCCTGCCGAAGGCAATTGCTTAACCAACTGAGCCACCCAGGCTCTCTGTTTGTTTGTTTTTTAAACATACATATGAATTTATCTATGAAGAAGCCTTGAAATCTATCAAGCACCTCGGAAAAATAAGCTATTTTAATCCATTGTTTCATATTCCAGTTCACCAAAAGACTGCGAGTCCTTGAGGGCTAGGACTGTCTCCTACAATAATGTTGTTTTTTGGGAGGGGTTTTGGGGTTTTTTTTGGTAACTCCCTCTGCATAAAGCTTTTTTAAAAACACTGTGAGTAAAGTAAGTAAACCTTGTCAAGGGTAAGACTTGGCTTCGTCTTTAATTTACTTCCATGGAAGAGCAACATTCTTTACCAGCAATACTTTGTTCAGGTCTTTATTCATTTGCAAATTTTGAAGCAGATGTTAAATCTGAGTTAAACAAAACACAAAAACTGACCTGTTCTGATATAAGGAAATTCTTTGTCCAGCAGCAACTGAAACATTGATGTCTTTGAAGAAGGGTACTCCAAGTTTACTGTATTTACAATAGATGCCTTTATCTTCCTTTCTTTCAATTTCTTGCAGCCTAGTCATTGTTGGATAAGCGTGATGGTGGAACAGTTGTCAGTCAGCTTAACTGATCTTCTGGACAAGTTTTCAAATATTTCTGAAGGCTTGAGTAATTACTCTATCATAGACAAACTTGTGAAAATAGTGGATGACCTTGTGGAGTGCATGGAAGAACACTTATTTGAGGTAACTTTGTATTCTTTGGGATTGCTTCTTACTACTCTTCCCCAAGACCTATGCTGACCTTGGCAAGGGTGGCAATATCTTTATTTGTGAAATTTTTAATTTATAAATTTTTAATTAAAAAAGTTTTTTAAGGAGAGCACAGAAAATAGGTGGTTGTAGTCACTGCAATACTGAAACATACATAAAGGCTTAGATGTCATTTAATATAAAAATTAAATTTATTCCCTCTAAACATAAAAAAAAATAGACCTTTATTTTGTGAGTGAAGTCCTCATAACCCACCTTTTATGTTACAAATGTTCATTTACATTTAAATGGAAAATTGTCTATAATGAACCCTTAGACCTCCTATCCATAGTAATCATGTCACAACAATGAAGTGCATTTTAACATCTCCAGGTCATTTGATGATTAGTTGTCACCAGCTTCAGAATGTGGGCATGGCAGTGCTGTGAGATTGAAGTTTATTGACAAGGCAGTGTATAGAGATTAAGAATGAGGTGTTAGAGTTCAAATCCTGACTCTGTCACTAGTTACCTTTGTGAACTTAACCTCTCTGTGTTCACATTCTTTATGCCTAAAATGAGGATAATGACAGGATCCATCTCATGGAGTTGACATTAGATAATTTGCGATTAATGCCTTAGTACCATGTCTGGCAAAATAAATCCTAATTAACATTTTTATTATTATTTTAGAATACCACATCTATAATAAAATAGATCTTGGGAGACCTGCTTTGGCATAGAGTTCACAATTCAGGGTCTACCCTACAGGCCTTCTAGATGTTTAAACCTAAGGTTTTAAATATCATTCTGTACTTTTAAATACTTCCTTCTCATCCAAATTCCAATTTCTCTTTAAGACCCAATATCCATCCCATTTGTGTTCAAACTCAGAATTCTTACTGTACTAAGAGCCTCCTCACTACATTTCATCACTTCTATTACTTTACTTTTTAATTTCTAAATTGGTGTGTCTTACAGTCTATGACATCTTAGAGTTAACATGTCTTTTTATATCATGTTAGTACAAATAGTGTTCTGATGGCAAGAGGTCACAGAAAGTAAGGCATATGAGGAACAGTGTCATGAAGGAAATAATCCACCCACTGGGGCTTGAAAGATGAGTTAAGTGTTAGGTAAATGGCGATATCAAGAAGAGCATCCCAAATACTGAAGAGTATACATTTACTAATCATGGCACTGTGGCTAGAACCCAGGTGGTATTTCTTTGTTGTTTTGGGGGTGGAGTTAATATGTATAAAGCACTTAGTGTAGTACATAGCAAATGCTACATAGGTGTTATTATTACCTACTTTTATTTATAGATAATCATGCATGTATGAATTTCTAAAATATAGTCTGGTTTGCTTTCTTGGGGAATTTCTAGAAATTAATCATACTCTTTATTCTTTTATAACTTGGTTCTTTTGCTCAGCATTATGCTTATAAGATATATCCACTTTGAGACATATAGCTGAAATTAAGTTTTTCCTGCTTATAGAGTGGACTTAATATACCAATATTTATTAAACCACTCTTCTTTTTTTTTTCTTCATTTAAATTCAATTGACCAACATATAGTACAACATTAGTTTCAAAAGTAGAGTTCAGTTATTCATCAGTTGCTTGTAACACCCAGTGCTCATCACATCACGTGCCCTCCTTAATGCCCACCACCCAGTTACCCCATCCTCACCCACTTCCCCTCCAGCAACCCTCAGTTGGTTTCCTATAGTTAAGAGTCTCTCATGATTTAACCACTCTTCTGTTGTTTGATGTAAGTGTTATATAACACTGTTGCTAAGAACTTTCTTGTATGTCTCCTGGTGCATATGTGCAAGAGCTTCTCTAGAGTATTCACCTAAAAGTGGAATTTCTGGGTTACAAAATGGGCACATGTCCAGCCTTACCAGATGATACCAAATCACCAATTTATATCATTCCACCAGTATGTAAGAGTCCCCTTTGTTCCATATTCTTGCCAATATTTAGTATCATCAGACTTTTTAATTTTGGGCTGTTTGGAGCATGTGTTATAGAGGGGTATTTTTTTTTAATGAATAATTATTTTAATGAGCATCTCTAAAGAACAGTGTCTCTAATTTCTTGCTAACATTATTTTGTTTTGATGTTCTATTCACCTTACCCCCACCACCACTCCATTCCTTTATCTGGAGTTGAGCCCCAGACCAAACTGGATGGGATCACTATCTTTTAGTACCAATTTGAATTATGGGTGTTAAAACAGTTGTCTAAAAGTATTAGTTTTACTTGAATCTTTGGGGAATGTATTTATAGTCTATTACCTTGACATCAGTTAAATCTGTAAACTATCTGAAAAATATAAACCTGTTTTCTTCTAGAATGTAAAAAAAACACCTAGGAGCCCAGAACTCAGGCATTTTACCCCTGAAGAATTCTTCAGAATTTTTAATAGATCCATTGATGCCCTCAAGGACTTGGAGACCGTGGCATCTAAAACTAGTGAATGTGTGGTTTCTTCAACATTAAGTCCTGAAAAAGGTAAGATATATAAGAATTTCCAATTTAAATGCCAAAAGCAAGCTTGAATCTTATATGTGTAGGTAAGAATCTACCTCTGACTCAAATATATTTGTAGCTAGAGAAAGATGTATGTGTATATGTCTAATACAAAGACATATATCAATGGCATGAAAGAAGTGATCAGTGGATTTGTTGGTTTTCAAACCAAAGCAACACTCATCATTTCCAAATATAAGAATTTTGTGTGGGTAAACAATATGGGATATAGTGAATTTGCTAGTATTGTGTAGTATATGTTATTCTTCATCTTCAGTTTTCTTAATGTCCCCTTTTCAAATCTTTTCCTTAAGGTCTACCTCTGAGTCATGAATTCTGATCTTCACCAGTTACTCTGTATTGAGACCTTTTTTCCCACTGGGTCCCTGTAGTACAAAATCTACTTACATTGTTTTTTTTGTTGTTGTTGTTTTTAAGACTAATTACCAACAATTTGTGTTACTTAGATTTATTAACATATGTAGGCAACGAATCTTTGTTCTATAAGGTGACTGTGATGAATTTCTTAATAAAAATAGAACAGGACCCAGTAAGAAATAAATAGGATCTGAATAATCAAAACTGGGGAGGCAGACCTTGAAAGTACTCTGGTATTGCACTTCAACCTTTTGCACACTCTGTAATTTATGTAAATCATCATACAACACTGACACATTATTGCTTTCTATTTAGATTCCAGAGTCAGTGTCACAAAACCATTTATGTTACCCCCTGTTGCAGCCAGCTCCCTTAGGAATGACAGCAGTAGCAGTAATAGTAAGTACATACATCTGATTTAATGCATGCATGGCTCCAATTAGCACCTATGGGAGTATTGCATGGGCTTTAAAGGAAATTTCTGCAATTATTACTATTAATACTGTTCTGTTACTATTCTTCCTGTTATGGTCTTCCTGAGAATTATTAGGTTTGTATGTAAGTGATGAATCACTAAATTCTACTCCTGAAATCAATATTACACTAGATGTTAACTAACTAGAATTTAAATAAAAATTTGGGGGTGCCTGGGTAGCTCAGTTTCTTAAGCGTCTAACTCTTGGTTTGGCTCAGCTCCTTATCTCAGGGTCATGAGAGCAAGCCCCACATGGGTTCCTTACTCAGCTCGAAGTCCGCTTGAGATTCTCTATCCCTCTGCCCCTCCCACTTGTGTGCTCTGTCTCTCTCTAAAATAAATAAATTAATCTTCCTTAACTATTTTTAAATAAATAAATATTAGCTTTGTAGAAATGGGTTTCCCTACAACTCAAGATGATCTTTAGAAAATTGGGTCAAAATCTGCTAAGATTATTTTAAGTAAGTCATATAATTACTTTTAGAAATATGATTTAAGCTTTATTCATTGTCAACTTAATATATTTGTTGTGGAATCTGCCTGACAAAAATGGAATTTTAAAATTGAAAGTGTAGATGTCCGTTATATAGAATTCCAAGGATATTTTCAGTTTTGTATATATCAGTATTTACTATTATGTGTTTGTATGTCTGATGATTTTATTTACTATATAGAGGAGAATATGCTTCTTTGCCTGGAATTTCTGTCTTCTTTGACTAAGAACCCAATTTCCTGGAAGTCTCATGTCCTCTTTTCAAATACAGGCAAGGTCATTATAAAGGTCATTGGATTTTACTAAATATTCTGATCCTCTAGTTTCATGGAAGCTGTAGAAGGAAAAAAAATTCATCCTATGATCTTAGCTAAGAACGTCATCCCTGAAGACTTAGTAATTGGGCACTGTCATATGTTCAGGGACATAGAGGACCTACCTATAAAAAGGAGTAATCAATTTAGTACGAATCCACAATAGCAATTCTGCAATTCAGAAATTTTTTAAAAACCTCTAAGATCCATTTGTTTTGGAATTTTTGCCACCAAAACCTGACCTGACCTAAACTGAGATAAGGCTATTTGTAGTCTTTTTCCTTCTAAAAGTGAATATTTATAGATTTCACTACAGAAATATTGTGTTTGATTACAGCGTGCTACCTAGACTTCACTGAGGATATTATATAGAATATCTGTAAGACAGAAGCTTCTAAAATCTGAAATTCTGAATTACAAAACACATCAGATCTGAAAAGTTTTAAAAAAGGACTGTGTGTTAGCCAGTTAAGGTCTTTCTTATTAACTACTGATTTTATTTTATTAATCTTTTCAAAGATGCAACTTTTGGCTTCTTAATTTATATTTCATTGATTTCTAATCTTTATTATTTCCTTCTTTTTACTTTGGGTTTAGTTTGTTCAGCTAAGTTGTAGCTGAAGTTCTTAAGGTAGAAAAATTTAATTAGTGATTTAAACCATTCTAATTTTCTGATATAAGCTCTTAAAGTTATAAATTTTCTTGTAAGCAACTTTAGTTGCATCCCACATACTTTGATATGTTGTGTTTCCATTATCATTTCTTTAAAAACAAATAATGCAATATATGTTAAGAAAAAAAAAAGAAGAAGAAGAAGAAGGTAGCAGGAGGGGAAGAATGAAGCGGGGGAAATCGGAGGGGTGGACGAACCATGAGAGACGATGGACTCTGAAAAACAAACTGAGGGTTCTAGAGGGGAGGGGGGTGGGAGGATGGGTTAGCCTGGTGGTGGGTATTGAGGAGGGCACATTCTGCATGGAGCACTGGGTGTTATGCACAAACAATGAATCATGGAACACTTCATCTAAAACTAATGATGTAATGTATGGGGATTAACATAAGAATAAAAAAAGAAAGAAAGAAAAAAAAAAAGTCACTACTCTGGAAGAATGCGGTGAGTTCTCTTTAGTTAGGTCTCTCATCCAGCATGGATTTGTTTGGAACACCTTCTTTAGGGGCTGTCCTACCTGAGAAAGATTGTGAGTGGGGAATCCCAGAATATCTCACTCTCTAGTAAGCCAATTCTGCTTGTTGCTAATGGGCCTGTCTTTCCTGTGGTCTGAATGGTTCAAGTCAAGATTTGGCTTTTGGAAAGAACAGGAAAAATAGGGTATTGGCCGCCTTGATTCCAGGGCGTCTGGCTACCCAAACATATGTAATAGAATTCTCCATAGCATCATCGTAGCTCATTCATTTTCCATTGGAGTCTGGGGACAAAAATATCAATAGCTTCCTTTGTTTTTCTCTGTATGCCTCCAGGAGGTCACCTGGTCAAATCTATCATAACCACACAGCAGTCCCAATAGACGCTGTGGGCTGTAGTGTTGCAGGATTTTTTTCTCTGTGCCCACGGTTCTTGGTCACGCCACTTTGAAGAAGAGGTAGACCAGACAGAGTGGTGGGCAGCAAAGCAAGCTTTACTGAGTGGTAGCAAAGTGATAGTACAAAGCTCCCAAGGAGGGAGGGGACCCAAAGGGGTTGCCACCAGAGTTTCTAAGTCTAGGGATTTTTATGGGCTTGTTGACAGGCTGTTTCAATCTGATTAACCCTCCCTGTGCCTGTCATCCAATCAGGTTTTTGTCACATGGGAAAGGGGGGAGGGCTCTTTCCAGGGCGGTGTAAAATCCTTTTAAGGGTGGTTTCATCTTGGGGCAAGTCCCTACCTGCCCGCCTTCCAGTTATCCTTCATCAATATAGCCAGTGGCCATGAAGGAGAATTCAAACTTGCTACTGGAATACAACCGCAAATAGCCAAGTTATGTACAGATAGTGGTATTAAAATTCCCAAAATGGCAAGAATTGCTTATAATCCATTTTCTGAGAGACAACACTTTTATAAATGGTAGTTAAATCCCAGACTAGTATACACAATCTTATATAACCCTTAAAATAGCTATATTATTACAATAATTTTAGTACCACTTAAGTTATACTAAATCCCATGTTGTAACTCTGCTTTATTTTGATGAAAGAATTCATGTTGAATTCTACTTTAAAATGCCTAAAACTTATTTCCCACAAGGCTGTAGGATGGGGGGTGGATCAGAAGATACGCTAATCTAATCTAGTCTCAAGGAAGTGATTCATAGTTATATGAATGGAAGACCCCACTTCCATCCCCATCGCCCTTCCTTAAGTGTAAGGGGCACCCATGACTCACCCTCCACCCAACCCATACACACAAACTTCCTATTAGAGCCCTTTGGAAATAGGAGTCCTGGAATTAGTGAATTTCCTGCTCCCAGTTTACAAATGGTGGGGAAATAGCCAGTTCCTGTTCTCTCTGCAGTAGATAAGATTTGTTTCTTGCCTCTCAGGTTAAATCTAAGTTCATGTTCTCCCTGTAAATGTTTATACACATACAGTGGTTTGTTTCTTTTATATTATGTATTTTAGGTACTTAATATGTTAAATAGGTGACTATAGGCTGACACAGTATCCCAAATATTGCAAAATATTATAGCCCAAAACAGTCACTTTACCTTGGATTAGTTTACATTTTGATCCTATAATTGCTGAAAATGTATAATTTCTAAATGTATTCCTTCATCAAAAGAAAACTGAAGATTTTCAGTTCTTTTTGTACAGGTTGGCACATGTGTCCATGTCTCTAATAAACAACCAGGTTGTTCCTTGTAAGGAGACAGAGAGAAGAGACCCTTGTGGTAGATGTGTTTTGTTTAATTCATGAATCATTCTGCTGCTCACGGAGGAGCTGAGCAAGATCAAAAGGAGTCCCAAGTTCATCTCACATGTTTTTTCCCCTCTCTCTCTCTGTCTCTGTCTTTGTCTCTCGCTATTAAAGTAAGCAATGAGAAGATAGCGGTGCTTTCAGCCATTCTTTAGTGTTTAATGGTCTCAGGCTTTCCAACATAAAAGTTCTGAAAAATCAAATCTTTAGTCCTTAGCACAGAGCTGGGCACTCTCTGGCATCCAGTAAACGTATACTGCAGATGTGATGAGGAAACGCCATGACTCTAAGCATGAGGTACCTAAAAATACTTCAACCACTAAGTACATTTAATGACTTATTATTTGCGGCAGGCAGAACAGCTTAATGCATACCGACCTTGATCCAGGTTGCAAAATGCCCTCTTTACAATTTCTTGGCAAAGGGTGAAGAGTGAGAAAACAAAAGGGTTTTAAAGTCATAGAAAATGGATTTGCTTGAGAGTATAAATCACTTTTAGGAATATGTCGTCTGTGTTCCATATGTGTCAACATCAGCCACGTCCGATATCCTTCTGTGTGGGTTTTCTTTCATTTTTCAACTTAACATATTTGGGAGACGACATGGACTTGTATTGCTGTCCCAAAACAACACTCAGCAGAAAAATCAGCATTTCAAATATTTTAAACAGAGCTAGGTCAAGAATACATTATGGAAACAGTTGGGAACAACCACAGCATAAGAGGAAAACCTCTAGCAGGGATATGCTGTGTTCACCACTATACTGTTTTAATTACAGGGAAGGCCTCAAACCCCATTGGAGACTCCAACTTACAATGGGCCGCTATGGCATTGCCAGCATTCTTCTCTCTTGTAATCGGGTTTGCTTTTGGAGCCTTATACTGGAAGGTAAGGGTTGCTATTCCTTTTTTTTTTTTTTTCCTTGATCAAAACTTCGTGAACTTTAGGTATTTATTTGTGCATACTATATTTACATAAACGATTACCCCACTGCCCTTTTCGGAGAAAAGGTCCTACCTTAACTTAGTCTCAGCAGACTCTAAATCTTAAGGTTTTCCCCTTATTCCTTATCATGCTTAGGAGACAACCCCTCCCACTGAAAATGCACACTTAAGAAATGGGAACTGGTTTTAATAGCCTGCACTAAATATAAAAAGGAAGAAATATGCTGCAAATCATATGATGTGCTTAAAGCCAAATAGAAATGCCATTTGTATTATCTGCTATTTTGGATTTCTCTTCTTATGTTCTCTTCTCACAGAGACCTGTCTAAAATTTTGAAATGTGCTAAATCATTGTGATTCAACTTTCTGAAATGTCTTTTGAATTTGATTACCATTTAAATCTTTCAGTTTCTTTATTGCTTTTTCACCTCCAGCCCCCTAAAAATGTTGAGTCAGTAATACGGTGCATTATTCATATTTTTTATTGCAAAAGTATTTTATATGCTGCATGCTGGAAAAAAGGAAAACCCTGCTATTGGAGTTATTGACATAAAATATAAAAGTAGAGACCATTAACCTCTTGAATATTATACCATTTATTGGTATTTTTATAACATGTATCCTTGTTCTTTTCCCAGAAGAGACAACCAAATCTCACAAGGACAGTTGAAAATATACAGATTAATGAAGAGGATAATGAAATAAGGTACTTTGTTTCGCTCAATATGTGCATAAGTAAGCTTGACGTTGCCAATTCACTGACCGTGCACATGCTCATATGTCTTTAAGAAGTTGTTTGCTCTCCATGGCAGCTCCCAACACATATGGATGGTCTTTATCCACATTTCCTGCCTCTCACACTTGCTTCAATCCCACATCTCCACTTAGCTGTAGAAGACCTTCACACTGGTGTCTTCGTGACCCATCTTAAAGTATCAATAGAGGTTTTCTCGGCTCCATTTCTATAAGCAGCAGAATCTTGCTTAGACGCCCAGTCACGGGGCTCTGGAGGCATGTCTGCATATTCTCCTTCATTTCCATGCTACCAACAGGATATACTGATTCCTCCTCTCTGTGTCTCTTAGCTCTTCGGCAAGAGTCAACATCTTCATATCTTCATGATGTCTTGGCTGAGCTGCCACAGGATCTTGCTTTTCCTTCCCCCCTCTAAACTGTACCTTTGTCTCATTCTCCCTTAAAACCCAGTTCATAAGGTTACTTCCTAGTCAGGATGCTTGCAGTGACTTGCTCTTGCATACTTGATGTATTTGACTTCACTCTAGTTTTTGGAGCCCTTAACTATTCTCAGTCTGTTTAGTATTTTCTCCAAAGCCAAACACAAAAATTGTTTTTAAGGTAACTTTCCATTTACTATAGCTGATGCTGATCACTTTTTACCTTACCCCATATTGCCTGAACAGTAATATTTGGATTGACCCCCAGTTACTGGAAGGTTTCATTTGGCATGTTACTTTCTCTTCTGTCATGCCTTTGTATATAAATATACACATATTAAGTACAGATAGGCATTTTTAGTATGTGTATATGCATATGCAGAGAGAATTTTTACACGACTTGGGAAGACTATATTGAAGCAGATAACGTCTTCCTTCTTCTCTTTAGTATTGCTTATGAAGGTAAGCTTTCCACTCAATTCTGCCATCTTTTTTTACTGTATTTACAGAAAAACTGCCTTATACAATGTCCAGATGACGGTGTACTTCAGAATCTCTGTCCAAAAGCAAATAAGTGTTTTTCTTGTTGCTTTTCAGTATGTTGCAAGAAAAAGAGAGAGAGTTTCAAGAGGTGTAATTGTGGCTTATATCAACACTGTTACTTTCGTATCTTGGTAAGTTTTTAGAATTCAAGATGAAAGATTTTTAAAAAATGATACAGCATCTTAGATGCCAAAATTTAGAAATAAAATTTATTAAGTTGACTCTTAAACTGAAACTGTTACAGTGAATTAGATATGCATAATTCAATTATGTGTGTTCTGACATTTTGAAAGGCCAAGCAGTGATTAGTGGTCCTGATTAGTGGATTCATCTTGTATGGGAGGTATACAAAAAATTAACAGTGGAGTGTTTACAATTTTGAGGCCAGAAAAAAATTAGACAAGGGGAAAGAACAAATTAGGACCAAAATAAAATAATATCAATAGAGGAAGAGTAAATAAAACCCCTTTCAGTTAGGTGTGACTACTATAACATAATAGAAAAAGTATCTCAATTGTTAGATGCTGAAACAAGTGAATGGCAAAAATGTTTCCTTGCTATTTTAAGGAAAAAGAGAAAGAACCAAAATATCTTAGAAATCAGAAGAAAGTTGTCAAGGTAAAGTGCCACCTGCCACATGACTGGTAATAATTGTGCCTCATCACAGTCCAGAGCCCAGGATGCAGTAAACATAAACCAGAAACAGATAGTGTGGGTCTGCGGAGGGCTTGTGGGAGAAAAGAGAGCAAGAAACCATGGCCCGGAGGCACTGATGCTCCTATTTCCTCTCCTGTCTACTTTCTCAGGGGCCAAGCTACAGACGCCAGATTAGCGGGGTGGAGTGGGGGTGGGGGGGCGAGCACCCGGAATGGCGCTAACTTGACCCCACATCAGTTCCTGCTCTGCTCATTTCCACTTCAGCTGCCAACTGGCTGTACGTTTTTTTATGGCCATGGGCTCTCGAGTGCATTTATTACAGTGGAACATGAATGTCCTCTCATTTTCCTCAGTCTTCAGTTCATTCCCTGCATTCCCTCATTGTCAGAAGATCATTTACTCTCCGGGGTTATTAGAAAGATGGTGTGTCATGAGCTTTGCCTTTTCTTTATAGGTCACTGTCCTTCCAGCTTCATTTTTGTCCCAGATTCAGAGATTTATCTTCAGACTGAACCTTCCCCAGGGAAGCTGGGTCAGAGAGCTTTTTAACTCCTCCAGGGCCTCACTTTGGTAGTTGGAAAACATTTTTCAACAGCCCCAAGTAACATGATATAATAATTATGTCCCATAGTTCTCTAACACTTTAACTCTGCTATTTACACGGACTTCATTTAGGCCTTTAATCGTGCCCTTGATCATATCCAGAGCATAAATAGTACTTTTTTTTTTTCCTGCTCACCATCTTACCTTCTCTCTAAGCTCATGTTAAATAATGTTAACAAATAGACCTTTCACTTGATACTTTTTATTTTCTGGAGCAATACTCTGCAAGCTGAAACTATAGGTTTCTAGGAAAAATAATTTCTCTGCCCTTCAATCCCAACATGAGCCTCACTGTTGCTTCTCTGCCATTTCAGTTCCCTTAAGCTAGACATCTACAAACCACACACTACATGGTTAATGGAGTCTTTTTTTTTTTTTCTAAGATTTTATTTATTTATTTGACAGAGAGAGACAGAGTGAGAGAGGAACACAAGCAGGAGGAGGGGAGAGGGAGAAGCAGGCTTCCCGCAGAGCAGGGAGCCCGATGTGGGGCTCGATCCCAGGACACCGGGATCATGACCTGAGCCGAAGGCAGACGCTTAACGACTGAGCCACCCAGGCGCTCCGGTTAATGGAGTCTTAAAGTCTCAAGTAATGTCCTCTGTTTGGTTTTGGACTGCACTGATCGCTGGGATCCTGTTTTGGCACACAGGTCTTTAATCATGTGGTTTTTAATTGTGGCATTTGTCCTGTGACATTTGGAAAATGGATTATGCTGGGAAAACTCAGGGCACCTGTTTAGAAGGGAAAACAATTGCATTTTAAAGCAACCATAGTCAAGCAACTTAGGCGTAGTTATATGTTGTCAGGGAACAGTCAGGGACAGGAACTGAGCCTGGCTGGTTCTTACTGTGTCTCCTTCACAAGCAACTCACTTGTTGCCTATGTGTTGCAGACCCTCACTAAATGCTTGTTGAATGAGTGTGACAGAGTGGATAAACCCTGAATGAAAGTTTAACCACTCGTAAGGAAGACAGTCCTTCTGAAGTAGGGTTTTTATTAGTTTGCAAGATGAATAAGTGCTAGAGACCTGCTGTAAAACATTACACCCATAGTCAACAGTGCTATATGGTGTACTTAAATATGTGGAAAGAGGGTAAGATCTCTTACCTCAAAAAAATAAATTTTTAAAAATCTTTAAGAAAGTGAATTTGGGTTTATTTTCATCATGCGTGTGTTTGTGTGCACGCACACGTAATTTGCTGAATTGGGTCAATAGGAAAGTAAAGCGTCCAAAGCAAGGAGAAAGAGAGTCATGGGAAATGACTATTTTTCTTAAAATGTGAAATATTGTTCATGTTTACAATGAATCAACCTAGGTTTAAAAAGAAGCTCAGATTGTTTAGAAATAAACTCCTCACACATTAATGAGTGGTCAGTGTGAAATGGATAAGTAATATGAAGTGGCTTTCTCCTTCATAAAGTACCTTACTCATCATGTCTGCAAGGGTCTCTCTCTCAAGACTCAGCTCGGATACCACTACCTCCAAAAAGCTGACTTCCCAAATTTATGGCCCTCTAATTATATTTCATGTTACATTTCATGTGAAATGTAATACACATTAATAAGACTTCACAAATACTTTTATAGACATTTTGTGTCCTCTGCTAAACCATAAGCTCTTACAGGACAGGATTTGTTTCTGAATTTCATTTTGGAATCCCATCAAACTATATAGCTTATACCTTGTTCATGCAAATGATGAATAAATATTTGTTGGGAAAAAAATGGAGAAGAATCTCAGAATTGCATTAACGGGCGCCTGGGTGGCTCAGGTGGTTAAGTGACTGCCTTCGGCTCAGGTCATGATCCTGGAGTCCCGGGATCGAGTCCCGCATTGGGCTCCCTGCTCGGCGGGGAGTCTGCTTCTCCCTCTCCCACTCCCCGTTTGTGTTCCCTCTCTCGCTGTGTCTTTCTCTGTCAAATAAATAAATAAAATCTTTAAAAAAAAAAAAAAGAATTGCATTAACAAGAGAATAAACTTTATGAAAATAAAAACAAAAATAGACATGGGAAGGATAGGAAAAAGGAAGACAAAAGATCCAGCTGGTCACCATGAATCTACAGACCCCAAGTCAAAATATATAGGTATCATTTGTAGTCATTTACTGAGTACCAGTTGTGTAGAATAAAGCCTTTGCTTGTCCCTATACCAACAGAGATTTAAAACCTGCCAAGGAACATGAAGTATAATTTGGGGAGATGGGTGTGATAAAGAAAAAGGTTTGGGAGAGCAGAATATGACGTGGTAGGAGAGGAAATTTGCCAGGAAATAAAATAGTAATAAAAAGTACCAAGATGGAAATGTAATGTGCAGTTGTTATTATATATTTTAAAAATTAGATATAATTTGGATTATAGCCATTTTTTTGGTTTACAAGGAAGGGGAAGGTTCAGGGAATGACTCAGATTTATGGCAGGGATTTCTCCCTGAAGTGTAAGTTTCACCAACTAAAATTAAGACAAATATTGGAATAGTTCTTCAAATGAAATAACCCATAATTGGAAAGTGAAGAGAAGGATGGTTTGATATTTTAAAAACAAGAAAAGAAGATGGAAGGATTACAAGGTAATGAGCTAGAAACAAAAGAAATTGGCTCTAAGTGAAAATATACTAGAGTGGTGTTTATTTAACACCAGACATGAAAATATCTATACAAAAAGTTAAAAATTGATTTAATCAACAAGCTGATGCCAAGTATTCATAGCTGGCATCCCACAAGAATTTTTTTCATTTATTAGCTTGTGTGTAGCAGTTTGAGAAAGAAATAAAATATTTATAGAAAAATTGTGCTCTTCATTCTTCCTACAAATGTGGTTCCAACACGCTGTAGTAGGTAGCTTGTTAGATGCAGAGCTTAATATAACCTAGTTGTGTCCTCAAATTGCTTATAACCTACAAAAGGAAATAAGGCATATGCATAATAACCTATTTTTAAAAGGAAACCAGAAGTTTATGAAGTTAAAAAAGCAATGAAAGGAGCTTACAAGGCAAATGCAATAAGAGATCAAAGGCAAGACCATTGCTTATGGTTGTACAGGATGTGTCCTCAACATAGGTGTGGTATGGATGGACTGGACACAGTTGCCTTATCTGAAGGGAGAGAAATCACTAGCAACAGAAGAAAGTCTTCATCACAATGTAGGTGATGGAGGTGGCATACTGAGCCAGATCTTGGATGATGGGTAAAATTGTAATAGCAATAGGGAAGGAGTAATCCAGATACTGCAGATGGCATAAACTGAGTCAGGGAGGCCAAAAGTGCAGAGTGTGAGTTCAAGAGTCCATTTGTACAGTTGGACTCCAGTGGAAGGTCAGACATGAGGGGATAAAAAGCTGAGAAACAAGGGTGTGGGCATCGGTTTGAAAAATTCCAAGTATAGGACGTATACTGTATTGAGTAATGTGAAGAGATGTTGGAGGGCTTAGAAAAGATGTGAGTGATACAATCAAAGCCAAGGTTTAGGAAAGCAATGAGATATTGGTGTGGCCAGACCACAGGGATGGGAGCAGTGAACTGGAGTCAGGGAGTTCCACTTGGGAGGCCAATCTTCCAAACAGGATGACCTGTTCTAGGGTCACAGCCATGGAAATAGGAAAGTATGAACCACTTTGGAGATATGCAGTAAAAGAATCAACACATTCTGGTTACTGGTGGAATGCGAGGCTTGACATCACAGGTAGTACTCAAGGATGATTTAGAGCCTATAGGACTAACCAGGTGGTGGTTAAAAAAAAAATAAGGGAATGAGCTGTTAGGAAATACCAGTGACCAAATACATTAGACTGGAAATTCAAAGAACAGTCAGGGCTGGAAATAATAGATTTGGGGTTTGGGAGTCAGCTACAAAGAATTTAAATTGAGACCTTGGGAGAAGGACAGCATCGTCACGGAGAGGGCCCAGTTTGGTTGACCGTAAATAGCATGAGTTTGTAGACACTAGGACTGACACACCCCAGCATGGGTAAGTGTTAAAAATAATAATAAATAAATATATTATTTAATAATTCTTATTACAGTTAGGCTGGTGGAGAGATTCACAAAAGAAACACAACCTGGACATTTCCTGCAGACCTGAGCTAAGACAGAAGATAATAGATCTTAGAGTTGGAATATGGATGACCTTGAGTCAAGTTTGGTCACTGAGCACACACACAGGACTGGGCAAGATCTGTGACTCTCTACTAGATGTTTCCTAAGAATTTCTGGAGCTTCGGAGGATTTGTCTTTGAACTCCTTCTGTAGACACATTATAATATAGAGGATTAGAAGGGATTAGACTTGGGTTCAGGCCTTGGCTCTGCAACTAGTTAAGCTGTATGTTCCTGGATGAGTCCGTTGTCTTTTATTCCCTGGTTTTTCACAGATAATAAGGGGATAATATGACTCACCCTGCTCTGAAATTTCATGAGGTTGTTACTAGGATCTAGGGTATCATTATAAAAATTGTAGCTTTTGTTTTATGGGAAAAGAGTTGTCAAACCTTCAGGTTTACTTTCTTTGCTAAGAGACCTGGGGACAAAACTAGAAATAGATTTCCAGTCTTGCTTCTCTACTTAAGTTTAGAATTTTAAGCTATTACTAGCTTTTTAAAAAATACATCCTTTTGGTTTCTTTTTGTGATTCCCTTTTGCTTTTTTAATCAAGCTTTATTTTAAAATATCTGCTCTATATTTTGGATTTCTGAAGTTTTATTAATGTTTTTTAAGTTTTCTTTCAGGATTTAATTCTCCTTTCCCAAATGTAGGTTCTCTAGTTTCTAGAGTTCTCTGTTTGGTAAATTGTCATGTAATATGGTTTTTGGTATATTCATTTAGAGAGACTGGAAAAAATACTGCACTTATCACTTATACTATGGAATTTTACACAATTTATATTTAACCTCTGCATTGATCTCAAATATTTAAAAACTGAGACTCTGGAGTTGATAAGGACAAAGAGAAAGAGTATTGAGTAGGGAAGAAAAAGCAACATACACATTTATTTAGGGGTTGTGACTGAAAAAAACAGCTAAGGAAGTATAGATACTTGACTTGAAAGTTAAAAATCCTAAAGCCGAGCCCAAAACTCAGTGGATTAACACTAGCTCTGAAGAAATGAAACAATGTCTGGCTTTCGTGTTTCAACAAGTACAATAAGCTATGTTAGGCCAAATGAACCTCCCCAGGGGCTTTGTCAGGATGCTGTGCCAGGATTTCTCTCTGTCTTTTCTTGGCTGACAGTATTGAAAGCGATCTTGTTGCAGCTATTCCTCGGTTGAGAGAAGTGATGGCTTGAACCTGGCTAGGCATTCAAGACTCTGGCATTGCTCAGTGGCCAGAAGGCTGCTATTTGTTGGTAGTGATCAACTTCCCCACTGGTTATCTCCTTCATGCTACTCCATTTCTCTCTAGACACTGCCTTTGTCTTTCAAGGCCTCTCCCCTTACCACTTACCCACCACCTTTTCATAGCCTGGTTAGAGAAATTCAAGGCTACAAGATAACCCTCTTACCTCAAATGGAAACAATCTGTGGTATGCAAACGGGTGTGAAAGCCACCGGGTATGCATTCATCCATCGTATGTTCAAGGAATATTTACTGAGTATCTCCTTTGTGTCAGGCACTGTTCTAGGTGTTGGAGTTCAGCAGTAAAAAAGATAAAAGGAGTGCCTGGATGGCTCAGTCAGTTAAGTGTCTGCCTTAGGCTTAGTTCATGATCCGGGTGTCCTGGGATCGAGCCCCACATCGGGCTCCCTGCTCAGCCGGCAGTCTGCATCTCCCTCTGCCCCTCCCCCCTGCTCGCTCTCGCTCTCTAAATAAATAAATAAATAAATAAATAAATAAATAAATAAATAAATAAAATCTTCAAAAAAAAAAAAAAGGTGGACAAAGCTCTGTGTCCTCATGGAGCATACATTCTAATGGGAGGAGAGACTCAAACAGTAAGATCATTTCAGATAATGTTAAATATTACCAGAAAGATCAGAGAGGGAGTGACTAGCCATTGCATCTAGGAAAAGATTTGTCAAGTTCTTTTAGTCTAAGTGAAGTGTTTATTTTAAGTCTATTACTCAATCTGTAGTCCTATGAATTCAGCTATCAAGAATGAAAAGAGCAGAAAGCAGATACACCATAACCTCTCTCTTTTCTTTCCTCTCTAGGCGGGTAACAGTTCATGTTTGCTTCATAAATGAAGCAGCTTTAAACAAATTCATTATCTGTCTGGAGTGACAGACTGCATTTTTATCTGTTCTTGTTACCCATGACTCTATATGGATGATTCACAAATTGGAACAAAGTGTTTTACTGTGAAACTGGCACTGAATTAATCATCTATAAAGAAGAACTTGCATGGAGCAGGACTCTATTTTAAGGACCTGGGGGACTTGTGGTCTCATTTAGAACTTGCAACTGATGTTGGGAGAGAAAGCACGTGTCCCAGACTGCATGCACCATTTTGCATGCCTCCAGAAATGTCTAATTGCTGAAAAGCCACATAGCTTTATTTTCAGTTACAACCTGCAGTTCATAGTTATCTTGGTCTCTGCAAGTAGATTTCATCCTGAACAGTGGGGGGTAATAATTTTTCTCAAAGGGATCTAGAAAAAAATTTAAAAACAAAAACTCAATAGCATCAGCAACTCTACATATAGAAAGCAGTGGAAACAAAATAATTGGATTAGGGCAACATGTCAGCCTTGTAGATGCTAATTAATGGTCTGGGTCTGATCTCGGTCTCTTCTTAACATAAACCTATATCCCACTAGACAAATGGACATGGTTAGCTGGATCTAATCATGCCTGGGAGCCAGTATTGAGTTAGAACAATGATGTCATCAACAAAATAAAAAACAACCTACTGAATGGGAGAAAATGATTTCAAATCATATATCTGATAAGGGGCTAATATCTAAAATCTACAAAGAACTCATACAACTCAATAGAAAAAAAAATCTATTTAAAAATGGGCAGAAGATCTGAATAGACATTTTTCCAAAGAAGACCTACAGATGAGAAGATGCTCAACATCAATCACCAGAGCAATGCAAATCAAAACCACAATGAGATATCACCTCACACTGTCAGAATGGCTAAAATCAAAAAGACAAGAAATAACAAGTATTGGTGAGGATGTGGAGAAAAGGGAACCCTTGTGCACTGTTGGTGGGAGTGTATATTGGTGTAGTCACTATGGAAAATTTTGAGTTCTCAAAAAAGTTAAAATAGAACTGCCATATTGTCCAGGAATTCTACTTCTGAGTATTTATCCAAGGAAAATGAAAACACTAATTCTAAAAGAAGTATAAACCCCTATGTTCTTTGCATTATTTATAGTAACCAAGATATGGAAACAATGTAAGTGTCCATCAATGGATGAATGGATAAAGAAGATGTGGTATATATGAGTATACACACACACAATGGATTATCATTCAGCTCTGAAAATGAAATCTTGCCATTTGTGACAATATGGATGGATCTTGAGGGCATTATCCTGAGTGAAATAAGTCAGAACAACAAATACCATATGATGTCTCTTATATGTGGAATCTAAAAAAAAATAAAAGTAAAAAAATTAAAAATACCAAGCTCATAGATACAAAGGAAAGATTGGTGGTTGCAAAGGACGGGGTGGGGGAATAAATGGATGAACTAGGTTTTTTTGTTTTTTAGTTTAAGTTGAATAAAAAGGTAAAAAAAGATAATAAGCCCCCCCCCAAAAAAAACCCCAAAATATTGATGCCTTTGCAGAGAGGAGACTTTCCAAAAGACTTATGGCCCAAAGCTATGAACACTGAACAGCAAGATAGTCACTGAGGAGCACATTCGACACCCTTTTCCCCTGCCACTGTAAGAGTGTATAAATTGTGCTTCCAAAATATATTATGAAATGGTTATATTCTAAAACTACTACAGAGTTATGTAAAGGGACTTAAGAGAAATTGCTGAATATATGTCGGTCCCATTTTCAATTTACATCATGAGAGAAAGTAAAAATAAATGATATTTAGTATCTAAAATTAGAAAACCACACCCACATGGTAATATGGGTATTGAAAACTAGGTTACTTGGCTTTTATAAGGCAGCAAGGAATCAGGAAATTTTAGTTATTTCTCGTATAATCACCATTATCACCATTAGTTTAAAGGATCCATTTATTTAAAATCAGGCACTGTATATTCATTAATGTTTATGAATTAAAGATAGCGAGCTTTATGTAGTTATGCATGTCAGTTTGCTATTTAAAATGTGTAACTGCGTTTGTCCTATTAAAAGTGAATTTGGTAAGAATTCCCAAGATGGACATCATGCTTTTAAACTAAAACTTGTTAAGACATTATGTGAATTTCCATTACCAATTTTTTTTATAGGCAAAGAAACATCTGACTAAAATGATTTCTTGTGGTTTATTTTGATGAAGATTCTTTTACTATATCATGAACACATACATAAAGGAACCCAAAGCTTTCTATTATAACTTAATTCTTGTTATAACATTATTGTCATGCTCTACCCCCTCAGATGACCATTTTCAGTGTCGTGATTTAAAAAAAAGGGAGGGCATGAAAAACTGTGAGCTTTCCTTTGATTTCAAAAGTCCAAGAATATCTAGCATAGTTGGATTTTAGATTATGTTCAAAGCAGATCCAAATAAAACTCGAGTGAAGTGGCCTTTGCTCTTTTTTTGTACCAAAGAGCCCAGATGATTTCTATGATCCTTCTTTCTCTAAAGTGCTGGGGTTCCTTAAAAGGTAGTCATTTCTCTAAGATACAACCCAGGTGCTTTGGGAAGCTGCATTGACTTATTCAGGCCCTTAAATATCCCCTGATAGAATCGACCAGTAATAAAATCAGAGGTCAGTTTAATTGCTGAAAGGACCTGTCTTAGTGTGTGACATTGTTTTGAGGAAAATAGATATAAATTAATATGAGTTATGTGTGCAGGTCAGGTGTAGATTGAGAAGATTGATACTTCTCAATTTAATAATTTGATTTATTTCACCAATGGTTTCGATTCTCTTAGGCATGAGAAAATGCTGTTTAATGAACTTGAGAGAACAATAAATGCACTTTTGTTCTCAAAGCTAGGAGCTGGGTTTTAACACTCAAGGACATGGTTCTAATCAATAGAGTTAAAGAAACGAATTCAGCAAGTTATGAAATATGGCATGATAGGCGAGGGGCAATATATTCTGCCTAATTAAATGTATTCGTTCATTGAGAGTTATGTGAATTACCAATTTTTAAAACACTGAAGTTTGATAAAATGCATGAACAGTAGAAAAAGGCTGAACATTATTTTGGATGCTAGGTGCTTGGGAATTGTCATATCTGCTTTGAGATAAATAGATATATATAGATATATATATCTTTGCTTTATTTTATCCAATATGTGTCCTAAATATCCTTCAGAAATCATGGAAAACTCACAAATGATACTATAAACCATGAAATCACCTTTTAAATTGGTGCCATGTATCTGATAGTTATCTTCTGTAACATTCCAAAATTACCTTTTAAAATGATCTCAGAAGTCTGCAGATTCTAAATTATACTAAAAGCTTTGCACCTCTTTGGTAGAACACAAGCCTATAGAGAAACTGGCTCTGTGATAAATGGTGCCTGCTCAGTGATACTGAAGTGTTGCTGGATTTTGTGTTCTAATCTTATGTGCTTACCACACTGCCACTTTTTAATGAGTCAGAGACAAATTGATTTTTTTCAATATGATAAGAATAAGTACCCTGTTCTCTTTAAAAAGGATTAAGTATGTGAAGAATGAAAATGTATGAGAAAGTATGTGTTTATAATGCAATGTTTGCTTTTAGTAAGAATTAAACACATTTAATTGAGTATTAAAGTACTTTGGGGAAACTCTGTGGCATATTTTGGTATTCTAATTCAACTGAGGTTTGAAAGTAACAGAAAAATCCATTCAGAATTCATTGATATCTCTTAATGTTTTTGTGCAGCTAGGTTTTGGTTTCAAAATGTAATTCCAACAGGAGGCATTTAACCATTCCCATTCCCACCTATTCTTTAAGAAATATTTTTCAAAAAGACAGTTTGGCATAGCAAGGTGGATGTGGGGGGAAAATTGTCAGAAGCCTCCACTCTGCTGTTAACTAATATTGGTAAGTCACTTCCTCTCTTTGGATCTCAATTTTTTATTCACCTTTATGGTGAAGTTGGAGGTCACATCTCCTTAGGTGTGAAACCTATTGATATATGACTGACAAACACAATAAAATAGATCTGAAATTACTCCATATAAAATATTGAACTCTGATCTCTGTGAATAAGCAATTTGAACATAAAAAGTCATTGCTGTTCTTGTTTGTAATGTAAATAGGATCCGTTAGTAAAAGTGAAATTAAATCTCATGTAGGGTGAATTGGATAACCATTTACACAAGAGATGGCTTTTTCCTTTGCTTAAGTAAACATTTTTGGATCGCCTCTGAAGAATGAAAACCGCAAGTACATTTTAGAAAGAGATACTATAAGATATGTGTAACTTTTGGAAATGCACCAAATTAAGCTTATTTAAATGCTTTCATTTTATTAAAAGCTTAGAGCATAAAACGTAAGATGCTCAAAGTTTTTGAGTGCCAAAAGATAATTTATAATCCATTTGGAAAGGGGTCATCCATAAATTACATATTAAAATTAGAAAGTGGGATAAGAATTTTAATTAAGCCAGCTTGTCTTTGAAACAGTATTATTTTGTGAAATTGGCATTAAAATATAAACATTCAAATTGAAATTCTAGTAATTTATGGTGTTTGATCACACAGTTTATAGTGTTGCTGCTTTCCATTAACAAGTCTGGAAATGCCTTTGTTACAGAAAAAATAATGGTACTTTAATTTCCTAAAAGATGTTTTAGAAGTAATTTATATTAAAGTAGATATTCATAATCCTAAAATGTTTCCTAAGCACTGTAAATTTATAACTGCCATCTCCAACTACATCCTTATGATGTTATTTTTAAAAATAAAATTAAGATAATTGTTTAACCTAAAAACCATAGTATTTTCAATTACTTGATTTCTCAGTTATAAGACTCAAGAATTTTCAGTAAGAATATCCTATTCTATATTCTAAGGATTAATGTGTGATTATAGTGTCCACTTGTCACTATTTTTTAAATTGATGGACTTGAAAAGTATTCAGACATTTAGATGGATGCATAGATATATTGCTAGTTCAGTCATAGATTGGAGTTTGCATATTGTAATGTAAATGTATGTCAACATTATTCTAGTTTATTATGACTGAAGTGTAATTAAATAAAAAAGGTTGTAAAATGTGATGTGTATGTGTATATACTATATGTGTACTTTTTAAACTAGGTATATGTCCTGACCCCTTTTTATACAGGTTGAATTTGAAATTACATTATATATACATATACTTTATTGTTCTAAATAAAGAATTTTATGCACTCTCAGAAGTTTGCCCTGTCATTTGATATCTCAAGATTATCACACATATTTAAAACATGGTTGAGGGGGCCCCTGGCTGGCGCAATCGGCAGGATATCTGACTCTTGGTTTCAGCTCAGGTCGTGAAATTGAGCCCACACTCAGCAAGGAGTCTGCTTGAGATTTTCTCTCCCTCCCCCTCATGCTCCTGCTCTCTAAAATAAATAAATCTTAAAAAAAAAAATGGTGGGGCGCCTGGGTGGCTCAGTTGGTTAAGCGACTGCCTTCGGCTCAGGTCATGATCCTGGAGTCCCTGGATTGAGTCCCGCATCGGGCTCCCTGCTCAGCAAGGAGCCTGCTTCTCCCTCTAACCCTCCCCCCGTCATGTACTCTCTCTCATTCTCGCTCTCTCAAATAAATAAATCTTAAAAAAAAAATGGTTGAGCAATTTATTAAGCTAAAATCAAATTTTTCTATAGAAATTCATTAATCTAGATTTTGTTGTCATATGGACATGAGATAAATCATTTTAATTCAATAAATATTCACTGGTTACTAAAATTGCCTTTGATTACCTGACCTATTAAGTTAACACTGTTTGATCTCAAGAGGTTTCTAATGGGGAAAAGATAAGAAAACCACTGTACTATGCATAAAACCACACTGAAGTAATTACCTAAGTGCAAAGCTTAGAGCATGTCCTTAAAGCATGCAAGAAGGAGAAATGGATATAGACTAGGTGAGATTATGGAGGAGTTGGTATTTGGGCTAAGACTTACAAGGGTGAGAGAAATTTTGACGGGAGAATTATACCCAGTTTGAGCAACACTTTCCAAAGCAAGAAGCAATAAAATTTCTTAGCTTATTCTATCGGAACAAACCAACGTGCCCTGGGCATATAATACAAAAAGAGATATAGAAAGAGAAGAGAGCACAGCCTTCTTGAATGCCACAAGAAGGGTAGATTTTTTTTTTTTTAAGATTTTTATTTATTTGAGAGAGAGCGAGCACAAGCGGGCAGAGAGGCAGAAGGAGAAGCAGGCTTTCTGCTGTGCAGGGAGCCCCATGCGGGGCTCCATCCCAGGACCCTGAGATCTGACCTGAGCAAAGGCTGTCGCTTAAACAACTGAGCCACCCAGGCGCCCTGAGGGTAGATATTCTTAGGGACCATGGGAAAATTCCCATTGCGTGTTTCTGAGAAGAAGAATGGCAAGATCAAACACCATGGTGGCTCATGTGATTTAGGCAATAAATTGTTATCTTGCTTAACCTCTGGTTGGTTTTTGACTCTTGAGACCACATCCCCTAGCTTTATAACACAATATTTATTCACCCATTTCTTTTCAACTTTGCTGTTTCTGCCTCCTCTGCTCAATGTTTATACTGCAAACTTTTACCAATATAAGCCTAGACAACTATAATCTTCTAACTGATCACACATCACTAACCCTTTTTCAATCAGTTCCTTAAGTTAGAGCGAATAATATGGAGACATGTGATGTTATTTTTCTCTGGTTAAAACACCTAAATGGTTTCTCGTTATTTTCAGAAGAAAACCCAAAGGCCTTAACGTGGCTTACGAGGCCCTCCTTGGTCCATCTCATAGTTTTTTTTTGGGGGGGGGGGATTAGTAATTGATTTCTTTCCCCTTTAAGCCATGAACAATGTGAGGTATAGGACCATGAATATTTATACACCTGTATTCCCCAAATTTAATACAAATAATAAGGTGTGTAATTGAAACAAAATTTGAACTGAACAGATATTACCTAATGTCTGATAAGTTATTTTCTATAATGTTTTATTATGAAAAATTTGAAATATATATAATAGTGGGCAGAGTAGTATAATGAAACCCCATATAAGCGTAACTTAGCTTCAACTTGACTCCACTATTGAATGATTTTGTTTTATCTAAGTCTCCTATCTATACTCCTTCTCCACTCCCCTTTTCATATTATTTGTAGGTCAATACCTAAAAATATTTGACCTGTAAATATTTATGTGTGTATTTATAAATTATAACTTTTTAAAACATAACCATAGTACACTTGTCACACCAAAGAAAAATGAACAATTCCTTAATATTAAAGAGTCAGTAAGTATTCACATGTCAATTTTCTCACATCGTTGTACATTTCAGTATTGCACTACAGCAGGGTATAAAATAATGGCAAAAGTCTCCCTTTAACATTGCATTTTTGTTCCCCCAGAGATCAACGCCACTAACTACTTTGTGTTAACTTCCAGAACTTTTTGGCATGAGCAAATCATATATGTATATGTGTCTATGTATGTATATGTGTATATGAATATAATATGTATAATACTATTCTCTAACCTTACCTTTTCCATTTATTAGAAGAATGTGTAACACTCTGGATCAGCCCAGATAAGCCTTTATCCACTGTGCCATTAGGGCCAGGAAATTATAGATGGACATTGAGATTGTAATAAAGTGTGTGCCCTTTGGAATTTCAGTCCATACTTAGCAAAATCCAATGTACTTTCAGAACTTTTCCTTCATCATCTTACTCAAAACGAGGATCTCTTCTGAGGATATATCTACCTCTTCAGCCCTCTCAGTTAGTGGCTGTGTTTCCTCCATAACTGTCACTGGGTCCAGAAGTGGGTACTCTGCTCTTCATTACTGCTTCTATTTTCTCCTCCCTAAGCCCTCCCAGATTTGAATCTCATATTATTAGACTATATATCCACTGCCACTCACTGTTGCTTCCATGTATAACTCCCAGGTTCCACTCCCTCATTTCTTGATGATGTTAGGCCTGGGTTCACTGTCACTCAATTCATTTATATTCCGGTCTTAATTCTTGGGATTTTGATATGCACCTAAGTGATCCTTTCAACATCCTGTCTTTTCAGGTCCTTGAACTTTTCTCCTAATGAACCAGTTCTCAACACCACCCTAGCCACTTAGTCTGATGGTGTTCCTATAGACTTTATCATTTCCATTAAGTGTAACGCATTCATATCTCAATTCCATATATTCCATCTCTGACCACCACTTTGTATCTTTCCAATTTACTCCCTTTGATCCAGTGGGCCTGTCAATCTATGATTCTATCATTTTCCACTAACTGTTAATCTTTGATGTCCTCTCTCCTTAAATGGGTTAAAATCCACAGTCCAGCATTATAATCATTCCCTTGCATATACTTTCTTCTTGATCCCTCTCGGTTCCTAATATTTGCCTGGTAAATGACACCCTGCTCAAATACAGTTCTCCATCCACTCTTTATCTGTGCTTGTATGGCTAAACATGACTGGTATACAATACACTATCATGCCTACTAGTTTCTCTATAGATTCCTTCCTGTCAAGTAGGTCTTAATGCTGCTCCAACAATTATATTTCTAGTCTATTGCTCTTCTCTAGTCTTTTTTGCTTTTTCATTCTCATAGCTATTTTATACGTTATTTTGTCTCCCAAACCCCCCACTGCATTCCCCATTCTCACTCTTAGTTCATAATCTTGGTTGCTATTTTACCTTGAAAATTGAAAAATAAATAAATAAATAAATAAAAGAGACTTCCAAAGGCTCCTAACACCTGGAGGCTGAGTTTCTGTGAAGCTAAAGAAACTTAAATTTCTGGTCCTCACACATTGTAGGTCTTTTATACATCATAGGAAGGAGCTAGCAATGGATTCACGTAGTAATATATTGTTGTGAAATTTGCAGCCACTTCCATTTATCCTTAAGGTATTAGTGTTCTGGTGTGGGAATGGCTTCTAGAAACACTCCCACTGACCACTGTACCAATTCACTAGGACACCATGACCCAAAATTGTGTGAGCAGAGGCTGTATCAGGATGCCCTAGTAAATGTGTCTTATGAATCTGGTACCAGAAGTATGTGGGTGATGCATGAGAAACAAGGTTTGAAATGAATGGAGGCAGAAGCCAGTTTGTGGAAAATTCTCACAATCATCACAATCACCTGATGTGTAAAATTATAAGTGGAAGAACCAGGTTTCATTAATGCCTGGTCAAGTCTTGGTAGCTTTCCCCAACCAGAAAATGCTCAGTAATATAAGTATAAACAAAACCATACATTTTTTTCCTCTTTTTTTTTTTTTAAAGATTTTTTATTTATTTATTCATGAGAGACAGAGAGAGAGAAGCAGAGGGAGAAGCAGGCTCCCAAGGAGCAGGGAGCCCAATGCGGGACTCGATCCCAGCACCCTGGGATCATGACCTGAGCCGAAGGCAGACGCTTAACCATCTGAGCCACCCAGGTGCCCCCATTTTTTCCTCTTAATTATGAGGAAACAGAATAGAATTTAATAAAATTGCTATGTTTCTTTTTAAAGATTTTATTTATTTGACAGAGAGAGACACAGTGAGAGAGGGAACACAAGCAGGGGGAGTAGGAGAAGGAGAAGCGGGCCTCCTGCAGAGCAGGGAGCCTGTTGCAGGGCTTGACCCCAGGACCCTGGAATCATGACCTGAGCCGAAGGCAGACGCTTAATGACTGAGCCACCCAGGCGACCCTAAAATTGCTATGTTTATAGAACCGGAAAATCTGTATATGAGGACACATGTTTTAGGCTTCTCAATGTACTGGTCTTGACAAATGTGTAGCGTTGTACATCCACCATTATAGAACATACAGAACTGCTTAATTGCCCTAAAAAATCTCTTGTGCTTTATGTATTCAACATTCCTACCCTCCCCTGTACCTCTAGAAACCACTGATTTTTTATTTTCTTTACAGTTTTCACGTTTTCCAGAGTGTCATATAATTGAAATTCTACAATATGTAGTCTTTTCAGACTAGTTTTTTTCAATTAGCAATATGCATTTAATGTTCATCTATATTTTTCACTGCTTTATAGCTCATTTCTTTTTATCATAAAATAATATTCCATTGTCTGGATGTGTCATAGTTTGGTTATCCATTTACTATTAAGAACATCTTTAGTTGTTTCCAGTTTTTTGGTGATTATGAATTAAGCTGCTATAAACATTTATTTTTTGGGAGACATAAGTTTTCAAATCAGTTGGGCAA